TGGATCCCATATTCTGGCAACCGACAGCCGTGCGGATAGAATGAGACAGACTAGGAGCTCGGAGAACTCTCACCACGGATTTATTTATTTGCGGCACTACCTTACACGATTTACCTTGCTGACTCTAATAAGTAGAAAACGACGCCTCTGTCGTCCAAATTCAGATTTAGACGATTGTCACCCGAGCGTGTATATGGTTATCTATTACATGTGACGTTATTCAGTTCAATGTTCATTTAATTTGTTAGAATGTTTGAACACTAAACCTTTTACAACAATATAATGTACAAAGAAACCTTTTTATTGCATACATTTTACTACATGAAACATTTAATAAATGTAGTACGCCTTGGTAAAAATTGGTCAAGTCGACGTACTGAATACAGTATAATGTACTAAACCGGTAACTTTAGGGACTATCGCCGGAGCCAAGTCCCATTCAGAAGGCTGAGCCAATGTCGTGTACGTCCGTCGCCCTGAGACTAAAAACCCGGCTCATGTGGGGTCGTGGTTTCATGTTTGACAGCTATTCGACATATAGCTATGAAGGATTACTTTTTTTTTCATATGTCTAAATATTTATATAAACCTCTTTTTATTTTTCAATACATCATGCATAATACAATCGCTTACCTAATGTTTAACCGAATATTGTAACTATAAACATAAAATGAACATGATTTTATTTTTATAACTCCAACTGTACTGACCGAACTGGTCTTAGTATCTGCAGGAATATATGAAAGAGAGTGTACACATCAACATTATGAAAAGGGTTCGTATGTTAACTTGAAACCGTATGGTGCTTTTTTATTTTTCGGTTCCGACAAAAACTGAGCCGAACTTTCTCAAATTCTACCATAGAAATTTTCAATGGTATAGACATCGCTGATTTCATAATATACTTTCGTTTCGCGTTATCCGTTCAACCCAGTTAGTTATCATCAATGGACCACACACGGGTAGTTGACGAGACACAACAACAAACATAACTTCTATGCGATAAAAGTCACAGCGTTTTGTGCTTCTGTACGGAAGAGGATTTCGGACGCACCACATCTGACGTGGGACCAAAGAGAGCCACAGAGATTAGACCGTCTCAGGACGTCGCCAGACTAAAAGTCTGGGCGAGGGGCGGGGCGTGCGGCGCACTGCACGTATGCGACTTGGTCGGGGTCGATGGGCGTGATAACGGTTATCAAGCGCGTTGGGCTGGGCTGGCGGGCCGGTTCGTTCTAGGCGTGGGCTGCGGGGGCTCTCTGTCGGATCCCTGTTCCTTGTTTGTGTAAACTTCCCCTCAATACATACTGTACATTCTTTAGCAGGTTTACACTTAGTACCCTTGATATGCCTGCCTTCGGTAACCTCCTGCAACTTTAAAACGTCTTCGTAATTGCAGTGCCCCATGATCTCATGCCATGTTTGAATATCATGGCTGACATGACACATATCATCATCACACTCGGTTGGTAAATAGTACATCCTCTTATGGACATAAATATTAAACCTCAAACCATTAGGTGATACTAGTACATCATTACCCTCTTTAAAGAATACCTTAGCACCATTGGTGGTTGCAGACTTCACGGAGAAAAGTTCCTGGGGGTACGATGGGATGTATAATGCGTTCTTTAAGGTCACATTACGCCGTCGTCCCTCGCTGTCAACCAAACACACCTGTGCTTCTCCTCTGGCTCGTGCCACTCCGAAAGTACGCCTCCCGTCAGCTAACTCCATGGAGTGGGTCTCCGGCTTGAAGTTGGTGTCGAAACGCCGGAACTTTCTCTCGTCGTTGATTATGTGCGACGACGCTCCCGTGTCGACAAGCAATCCCTTCTGGTGGGTCCGCATCTGCTGTCCCAGTAGGCTGGCACCTCCTGTCTGCACCTTGAAGGTGCAGTCGTCTCGTCCCGCAGCATGTCCACCACCGGTCCGATGTCCGCCGCCATCTTGTGCGTGTGCCCTCCGGGCGCCATCTTGTTGACGATTCTTCTTTGTGCACGCGTTGTCCGTGTGCCCATTGCTCTTGCAATGACTGCACCACGCTCTCTTGGTGCATTCGTCTTTCCGGTGGCCCGTCTCTCCGCATCGCCAACACACCAGCCCGTTGCGCTCACCTTCCTCGGCTCGGGGGAAACGTTTGGCAAGCTTTTTCCCCGGCGTCGCCTGGGCCTTCAGCACTCGTTCGTCCATCACGTCCGAGGCTGAATCTGTGTCTTCTGCGGCCTCAAAGTTCCTTAGCTTCGCCTTGAACTGTCCCAACGTCAGCTCCGTGTCTCCGTGTGTCACAAGTAATGTGAACGGCTTGTATTTCTCTGGTAAACCACGCATTACCATCGCCATCATCAATCCTTCACTCGGTGCTTCGCCAGCGTTCCTGAGTGCCGTGATGATCTGTTCCGCTCGGATAATATACTCCGTCATCGTCTCGTTGACCGTCTTCTTCAGCGCGGTTAACGTCGTGTACAGAGTTACAATCCGTGGTCTGCCTCTACCGATAAAGTGTTCTCTCAAAACTTTGAGACTTTCTCGGCCTTGGTCCTTAGTGTCTCTGAATATAAGTCCAAGACTAGTATTATCGAGAAGTGGAGCCAACGCACAATATGCGTCCTCGTTCAGCTTCTCGTCCGCGATCCGCTCCTCCGCGGTCCGGTCTCCCGTAGGTGCTCGTAGGATCGTTTCTTTCAATCCTACTCCATGCATACAGCACAGCATCCTTTCCTCCCAGAGCTCGTATTCCTCTGCGTTCCCGTTGAACGAGGGCCATTTACTTCTGTGGGAGTTTGCCATGTCTTTCTGTGTTGTCGCTCCCGGTAGCTCAGCTTAGCGCCCTGTTAGCTTAGCTTTAGCTTCCCTGCTAAACTTAGCTTTAACACGCGGCTGCTAACTAGCACTCTTAGCGCGTACTCCCGAACTTGAGAATCATTCGTCGTTATCTGGGCCCATAACCTGTTAGCAGATTTAGACTTAAACCTTTTGTCTCCTGCAGCAGAAAGGTGAATAATCTCAGTCGTTCAAGTTTAGCCATTCATCACGGCGTTATTTATTTTAGGCACACATCTCAAGAGGCTTGAGGACAGACAGAGAAGGGGCGTGACTTCCAACGGTCTTATACCCTAGGTAGTGACATCATCAATCATGTGGTACAGCAGCTAACCAATGAACACAGTTAGTAGTCGCAGCTACTTACATAGACAATGTGGTGCACAGTAATAATATAAGTCATATACAATATACATATATCTATGTCATATTCTAACATTGTCAGTTAGCGGAGTTTTTTCCCGTTAAAAGGGTATGGAACATTAATAGTTTCATAAAATGTTAAGAATCCCACGGTGGGAGGGGTCCACTGAGGTTTTAAAACAAGTCCTCCTGCTTTGACTGCCAGGATTGGATCTGTGCCACAAACACCGTCCTCTTGGGCGGGGACCAGCCCATAATGCTCCTTTAAATTACGTCTTCAACATTCCACATGATTTGTGCTTGAATGAGGAGCGTGAACACCACGGTGTTATCTTCAGGGCTAAGCACTGTCAACAGCAGAACAAATGTCTCTTTGGCACGATTTTGTTCTCATCCTTTTCTCTAATCCCACCACTTTGTTGGGGTTGATGGCTCTCCTGCTCATTCTCTATCTTGTATCCAGTAGTTTAATCACCAAGGAAATAGGGAAGGGGCCCCCGGGACCGAGGCCTCTTCCCCTGCTTGGTAACCTGTTGCAGCTTGATCTCAAGAGACCCTACAAAACCCTCTGTGAGGTGAGCTATCCTAAAGCAAATCCATTTTGATACAGTTGTTGTTGTTGGAGCTATATATCTCTTTATATTATGTAATACTTAAACATTTATTTTCTTGCCGTTTATAGTGTTTATTTTAAATGTAGCCCATTATTGTCATAAGTTAAAGTAGTTTCTATGCTTTTATTTTTGAAGTTATGTTTGGGCACTGGGTGATTAGAAGTGATGGCAAAATGAAGCTTTGAATGAAGCGTCGAACCACTTGGACAATTGTGTCGGAAATAGGTTCATTTCTCGAAGCTTCAGTTATTCGAGACACACTAAGACTGAATATCATGTTCTATTTGCAATTAAAGGTTGATAATAGTGTGTATTGGGTTATTGAGAAGAGACTAGAGAGTGCTTGAATTTTTTTTGGGCGGAGAGGGCCTTTTATCAGTTATTAAAGTATTAAAGTTGAAATGCAATGATTAAAAGTTTAACTATTTCGAGCTTTGAACCAGCTGCGCGGAGGATAGCGCCGCATCCTGGCCGCCAGCTCTATCCACTGGGCTATCAATTCCTTAGACCATCGAAGTGTTTTTATTAGGGCCGGGACTCGATTAAAAAAATTAATCTAATTAATTAGAGGTTTTGTAATTAATTAATCGAAATTAATCGCATTTTTAATCGCATATAAATATTTGACCTGAGAACAGTGAGAAGATGTCAATAAAGTGTGCCGTCACACAGAGGTAATTTGAATTGCTTACCGAGGTCCAATGATCTCCAGTCAGGGCAACACATTTGGCTTTCTCCAATAAATTCTCTTTATCTTCCTTTTCATTGTCATAAAGCTGCTGGATTCTTTTTGTCACTGTCTTTCTGCATGGCAGCTCATATGTTGTGTCAGACGATGCAATCTCTAGTACCTTTTGCAGCCCCTTCTCTTCTACCACTCCAAGTGGTCTACAGTCGAGTGCAATCCAGTGAGCTGGTTATTTTTTCAGACGTGGACTTAGTTATCCTGGCCCTGAAACCAGTCATCTGGTTGAGTGTGGGTTGGGTGTGGGTCATACTAAGTCAACCCCCCCCTAGACCTGGATCATTAACCTGCGTAAGTTCCGCTAACTAGTGCCTCAGCGGCAGTGTTTACTTTAAGTTATTTATCAGTTTTATTTCTATATGATTTTGGCCGCTACAGTTGTAGTGATTCACTTGCAGGTCATGCAAAACATGTTTTACTGACGCCATCTCAATTTTTTTTACATCTTTTAACAGCTTTCAAAGAAATATGGGTCTGTGTTTACGGTATACTTCGGAACCAATAAAGTAGTGGTGCTGGCTGGATACAAGACAGTAAAGGAGGCTCTGGTCAGCAATGCAGAAGAGTTTGGTGAAAGAGAAATCTCCCCTACTTTTTATGACATGAATGAAGGTCACGGTAGGATCACCTTTACATAATCTTTAATATACAGTGTCTTTCAAACAATAGAAAAAACATTGTAGTGATAATACCTACCATTTATTGGTTGTGAGTCAAATCACACTTGAATATTGTGTTGAATAATACAGACATGACTACTACAGATTATATTTAACATGCATGTCATGTTTAAAAGGAATCCTGTTTGCAAATGGAGAATCATGGAAAGAGCTGAGACGTTTTGCCATCAGCACCCTGAGAGACTTTGGCATGGGCAAAAGAATAGCGGAGCAAAAAATCCTAGAGGAATGCCACCATCTAACCCAAATGTTTGAAGATCACAAAGGTATGGAGTAAAAAGCATTTTTTTATTCATCACCCATGTTTTACAGTTTTGTTGTAGCAAAGGCAAATCATAGTGAGGTTCATTTTAATATTAAAAGTCTGCCCTCTTTGTTTTGATCTGAAATCCTAATAATATCAGTATTCTCAATGCAATTTTACAGGGAAACCATTTGATACAGCGCGCCCGTTGAATCATGCAACATCCAATATCATCTCCTCTATCGTGTATGGCAGCAGATTCGAATACACTGACCCCAGATTCAAGGAAATGGTCAGAAGAGCCAACCAGTCCATATGCATTGTTGGATCTGCACAAATCCAGGTAGGCCTCATACTGCTTCGGTTGAAAAATACATGATTTAGGGACAACATGAAAGCTTTTGTTTTTTGCTTTTTGTTTTTTGCAATATTTTTGCAAATGGTCAACACCATAAGCTTTTAGCAGAGAGTCCAATAGAAGGTTTAGTACTGTCTTCAGGTCTTTTATACAGATTTGGGCTGGTTGGTGTAAGAAATGTGTCTGTTGTTGTATGTTTGGGTAAACATCCATTATCTCTTTACACAAGGTGCTGGTGGAGCACCATTCTAGTATCAGCTTAAATAGTTGCTTTAGGGTAACATTTAACTGACAAAACAATAAAAGAATGATTGAAACTAAAGGTATGGAGATGGGAAACATTTATTTTACTGTATCAAATAACTGATCAGGTGTGTCTTAAAGGTGGGGTAGGTAAGTTTGAGAAACCGGCTCGAGATACACTTTTTGTTATATTCCATGGAATGCTCTTAACATCCCGATAGCAATGAATATCTTAAGTGTCTTTGTATTTTCAAAGTCCATCACTCGAGCTGGTTTCTCCAAAATTACCTACCCCATCTTTAACATTGAATACACTGTACAGTATATTAGACCCTCCAGAAAAACGCGATTCTGCGATCGAAGAATTTACCGCATAATCAGCAAAATGGCGCAGATTTCTAAAAGGCCGCATATTTATCAAAAGGCAGCATAATCCGCGCATTTTTCCACACAAAGTTGAGAAAAAAAAAAGTTAACTCGTCTTGACGTGACGTCATCAGCTCGCGCATCACAGAATGTAAACAACACCATATAGAGTGAACGTGTGGAGCTCACACGATAGAGAAAACACCAAGATGAAAATATCTAATCCATCTCATTTACCGACGAACATTTCTACTAAAGACCGGGCAAAAAGTGGGGGGAAACTATTCTGCACCCCGTGCAACTGTGTGTTGGAGCATAAGAGAAAATTGACGGTGACGACCCACTTTGATTCATTCAAACATTCGAAAACGCTTTCTGCTGCTGCGGACAAGAAAGCCAAACAACTCACGTTCACCGAGGCATCAACCTCCAAAACCCTTTCGAGGGCTACAAGAAACGAGGTGAGTAGCCTACAAGATTGAAGCTGCAGATAACGAACGAGTAAATAAAAACAGAATGAGGCGGAGAAGTG